AACTTCAAAAAACAAAACCGCCAGGTGTGTAGCTCAGTGGCACTATACCTGCCTGGCAAGCACAAGGTCCTGAGTTCTATCCCCAGTACTGAAGAAAAAAAAAAACAAGCACCAAGTAGGGACAGCACATCTACCCTCAGGCACTTGCCATAGATGCTGACTGTTGGGTGTTGACTTGTGGGTGACTTCTTGCCATTTGGAACTGAGGAGGGGAGCTGCCCCATCTGCAGGAGCAAGTCCCAGACAGCTGCCCAGTATGCAGGGTCCCATCAGGAGCCTCACAGAGACCCCAGGAAGGCCTGGATGGGTGGCTATTTTCTTTTCTCAGTTATTTATTTAAATATGAAAGAACATTTGGTGTCTTCCCAGTTCCACTCAAAGGAGGGCCTGTTAGTGACGGTGGGGATGAGTCCTGGGGGCTCCCAGCACCTGGCCAGTCCCTCAAAGACCCAGGCTGGCTTCAGAAGGGCAGGTTGTCCTTGGTCCACCTCGTGTTAAGGTGAGAAGCAGGGCTGTGATGGGAGGTGGGCAGTGGCTTCTCTGCACATACTTGCCCGCTGAGCAGGGCCACTGGTATAGGAAGACACCAAGAGTCCCCAAGAGACTGGTCACTGGCCAGCACTCCAGAATAGTTTGTTGCAGGCTGTCTTGGCCACAATCACCAGCTTGGACAGCTCGACCTTGAAGGCACTGGGCCTGTGGGCCACTGTTGTTTTGCTCATTTCAAATTCCTCATTTTTTCAGGAAAACATCGCTTTCTCTTTTAAATGCAGCTTTTGAGTAGGCCATGACTACTCAATCTCAGTGCCTCGCACCTTGGCCTTGAACTGGGTGAAGTAGAGGTAGAACTTCACAAGGGGCCTCCAGATGATACAGGTGAAGTGCTAGTGCTCTTTGCTGGTCTTTGCCCAGACTCATCTGGCATTGCTTATTGGTCCTTCCTTGAGATGTGCAAGTGAGCATACAGGTAAATTTGTCCCCAGGTCCTACGTTCTAGGAGAAGGAATGCACCACTGCATGTCAAATGTCACTGCTGTGGGCTCAGATACTGCCTCTGCTGGCCTCAGAGCCAGTGCCTTCAGGAGCAGCTCGGCAGACCAGGCCTTGCCACTGCCATCCTGTTTCTGCCATCTTGGGATCATGTGCTGCCAGTGAGGCCAGGCAGATGAGGTGCCTGAATTTTAAAGAAAAGAGAATAAGGGTTAGATAGAAGGGAATCCTATGTGAAGAATATCTGAAATGAGTCCAATCTTTTCCAATCATTTCCCTGAAATTCTTATATACTCTAGTCCCTCAAATATTAATCAGCTGCAGTTTATTTTCTAGTTGCTAAATAAATCTGACCACAGTAATTTCTTAGTGTTTCTAGCATCTGCCAAATGTCCACTGTCAAAAACTAATGAACTGTAGTGTGCCAAACCTCAATAAAAAATCTAGATTCCAGACAAATCCGCTAGATTTTTAATTTTATTGTCCCTTTACTTTCCTCATCTCTGTGTTTGTCTTTATCCTTTCAAATACTGATTTGTCCTCTCATGCAACAGAAGTAACATAGTCGTACTACTGAGACAGTCACTCACCACATGGACTGTTCAGTCTCAGGGGTAGTCATGTTAAAAGTTATGGGAAGGGGCTGGGGATTTAGCTCAGTGGCACTGCGCCTGCCTCGAAAGCACAAGGTCTTGAGTTCAATCCCCAGTACCAAAAAAAAAAATATTATGGGAATAACATGGAATCAGAAATACAATTGTTTATCTGAAGGAAAAAGACAGGGTGTTATTGGAGGATGAAAATGGCAGCTAATACTTTGTGATATGAGGGAAGAACAGGTCGAAGAAGTCATAATAAGTGAAGTCTTCTAGATTCTCCCCCAAGGAAGTCCTGAGGCATAGATTTGAGTGCAGGTAGCTTTTTGAGACTGATCTCCAGAAACTAGGCAAAGGAAGTAGACTGAGACTGGGAAAGAAAGAGAATGATGATACATTAGCAGACTGTCGTTCCCACAGGTGGGTGGGTTCAGTCTTGCTTGGCATTTTATGAAGATCAGTGTGGGATGCACCTCAGATTGCAAAGGCAGCCAGGGTGTTTTCAGCTGACATTCATCCTCCACTGACTCAGGGTTGCCTCTCCTCACGTTCACTTCTCCCAGCTGAGGAACTCCCATAGCTTCAAAGAAAGCAACCAGGAATGAAGTGAAAGCAAGTGAGCAGTGGGGTGAAGTCAGAGGTTAGAAATCTGCTAGGGCCCTGAGAAGGAATAGAATTTAGGTAGGAAGAGTGGGTGGGAAACAGTTCTTCAAAGAAGGAAGGGCAGGCCTGAAGACCTAGGAAGACAGAAGTATTTGGTGCTTTTCCTTCTAAATGACCAGTTAGGATAATCAGAACTATGTGATTTAGGAAAGAGTGGCATGAATATATGGCTGGACAGTGAGTCAGGTGCTCTTACAGGACAGTTTAAGGATTTGAAGTTGTATCCTACATACAACATAGGATTTTGAGGAGGGTAATAAGATTTTCTGCATTTGAAAACATTTGTGGACAAAGACAGTTTTATTTCTTTTTCTTATTCTTATCTTATTACATTAGCTAGGATTTCTAGTGTGATATTGAAAAGCAGTGGTGAGTGGGAGCATTCTTACTTGTTCCTAATCCTAATGGGAAAGCTGCTAGTTTTTTACTGTTACCATTATGGGGTTAGCTATAGTTTCTGTAGATGTTACTTATCAAATTGAAGATTTTACCTTGTTTCTGCCTGTTGTTGGCTTTTTTAAAAGTCATGAATGTGTGTTGCATTTTGCCAAATGTTCTCTGCATCTGTTGCTAAGATTGTGTGCCCTTTCTTTTGTAACTTGTTGCTCTGGTGGGTTACAAGGAGTGACTTTTGAATGGCAGTGAGATTTTTAGATGATCTTTTTTGGCTGCTTGGAGGGCACAAGATGGTGGGGTGAGAATGAGAAAATGAGAGTGGGATTGAGGAGATCAACTTTAAAACGCCTGATGAAATCCTGGGAAGCAAAGTGAAAAACAAACTAGGCAACGGAGCGAAGAAATGTTGCAAGACGACTGCATGCGATGTGATACTTTTTCCCCTGGATGAATCATGTGGGAAGAGAGGAGGGGTTAAGGAAGCAATTTTTTCTCCCAAGGCTGGCTTGGCAGCTTGGTAGTGGATGTTACTCCTGGGAGACAGTATTATAGGAGTACTGGCAAATGTGTGCTGGAGTTTGTAATGTGGAGGTCCATGGGGAGCAGGTATAGTGGAAGGGTGGAAGAAGGTGGGCTAGACCACAGCATCAGTTGAAGAAGTCAAAATGGACACTGGCTCTGTAGTCAACTTTTCCAAGAAGTTCAGGTGTGAAAGTGACTGAAGAAGCAGGGTTGGGGGAAATACACGGTTTCTGGAAAGATTTTCCTGAAAGGTGGGCAAGTCCAGCACAGCTTGAATGCTGGTGGGAATGATGAAGCGGAGAATGACAAGTCCAAGATGCTACGTAATCAAGGGGATTACCCCAGATGCAGTTTATGGCTCCTGCAGTATGCACTTTTTCAATAACAATTTGATATGGTCAAATCAGTACACAAATTCTCTTTCTGGGTGTAAAACTCCACGAGCTATTGTCCCATTTTCCTAGCGCCAGCAGAGTTGTCTATATCCAGTGTCTTCCCTGTGGTTCTCTCTATGAAGTTCCACGAAGCTTTCACTTCTACGTTCTCATGAAATTACTGTGATCAAAGTCACTAAGGATTTAGCCTGACAAATCAAGCTGTACATGATCAGCCCTCATCTTGACCTACTAACACTATTTGAGACAAACAATCCCTTCTCTCTCTTTCTTTGTTTTTTGCAAATGACCCCTTCTTTGACTTGGCTTCAGGAAAGCTTCCTGTCCTTCCCTTTCCTCTCCCCTCTCACGGCTGGAACCTCCACATCTCCCCACTTTCCAAAAGTTGGGGCACCTCCTGGTCCAGTTCCTGGCCCCCTTCTCTGCCCTCCCACTCCCTTCAGCCCTCTTAGGTCTGTGAGCACCTCAAACTTCATTTGCCTGAAGCTTCACGACACCACCAGCAAGGATTCCCCAGACCGGAGGGGTCTCCACCTCATCTCTGCAACTCCAACCAGCCAGCCTGCAGACCAGTATCTTGGGGCTACTCTGCACTTACCTGTTTCTCTCTGTTTTTCTCAGGCCCAATGTGATCAGTCAGAAAGTCTCCTTTGCTCTGCCTCTTCCCGCGCCCTCCAACACTCCTACTCAGATGCTGGCCGCCAACGTCTTTCCCCCTGCTGTTGATTCAAGGCGTCCCCGCTCCCTCCTACTGAATTCTACGCGTAGCACAGCGGTAAAGACTTGGAGAGTCTCGGGGCGGTCGCTCCCGACTCCGAGGCAGGCGCGCTCCGCGGCTTTCGGCTCGCACCAGCTCACACCGAACTCCATGGATCCCGACCAAGGCGCCTGGCTGCGCTGCCTGCTTTGCTTTCTCCACAGGTCTCGTCCTGGGATGCTGGGTCTCGCTCTTTTCGAGGAGAGGAGGGCCAGACACGGACACTCGTGACCGTGTTTCTGGAGACAGGAGCTCAAGGAAGCGGGGTCCGCGCCGAGCGAGGGGTGGCTCGGCTACACGGCCGGGCGGGAGCCTTTGCTGGGTGACAGCCGGAAAGGGTGGCGGGCACGAGGAAGCCAGGCCGAGTGGGGGTCCGGGTCGACGACCCGGGGGGGCGAGGAGGGCCCGCGCGGGGCATGATCTTATCGCCCTCCAACCTCCAGGCCTCGGCCCCCGCCGCCGCTACTGTACCCCTCAAGGCTCGCACCTACAAGTCTGGGTGCCGGGGCCGGACTGTGCACACTCAGTTCCGCCTGCAGGCACAGAAAAGCCGCCAACCCGCGCTCCCTTCCCACTGCGCAGACTCAGCGGCGGGGCTCCAGGGGCGGGGTCCGGGCGCCGGGGTCACGCCCACAGCGTCGGTGCGAGCCAATCCTAAGAGGAGACTCGATACGGATTGGGTGCTTCTTCTGGAGTAGGCGGGCGTAACCAGGCGGAATCCGGAAGCGCCGGCGCTAGTCGGGCCCCCGCTTTTGGACATGTCTGAACGCCGGAGACAAGGTAAGGGGCGGGGGTGTCGCGAGGCAGAGCGGTGAGGGTCCTCGGGGCCCTGGAGGAGAGTGAGGGGCAGTGAGGGAAGTGAGGGGCTGTGGGGAAAGTGAGGCCTCTGTGGAGGCCGCGAGGGGATTGAAGGGAATGAGGGGCCTGAGGGGTCCGTGAAGGGAGTGAAGATCCTGGGGCCCGTGAGGGGCGGCCGGGGCTGTGGGGGATTCGGGTCGCCTCCTTGCAGGCGCTGCTCTGTCCCTAGAGCTCCCTGGCGGAGCAGGACCCCCAAGCCTCAGTTTCTCCCCATACCCGGAATCGCTCGTGCCGTCACGCTGCGGGAAGCTCCTGTGGGTTTTCCCTGTCTATTTTGCAAATGTTTCTGCCCCTTAAAATGAAAAGCCGGTGGCAATTGCGGTTAAGACGTGTTTGCAAGAGTAAGGGCAGCTCGTTCGTCAGGGAGCCGGAATGGCAGGCGCAGAGCATCCACGCCTGAGACGCGCCAGCCAGCGCTCCTGGCTCCACCTACGCGGCTGCAGAACCCAGGGTCAGCTCACAGATGAGCAGATGAGCGGCTCCAAAGCTAGGTGCGCAAAACTAGGGTTAAAACGTCCACTGGGAGAGGGTGGGCGCGTCCTGTTGATGAAACAGGTGTTTGGAGGAACAGACTTGAAAACTCTCACGTTCTGGTTGCTTCTACATCTCACTTTCTCTTGCATTTTTCTTGTGTTTGTGATCTTTATAAGCCTGGAGTTAAGTGCTTTTTCCTGTGCAAGAAATTATATCGTTTGTAATGTACCTAGTCAACTGCAAAACACTCTCAATTCGTCACGAAACTTTTGCCCTTGAAATAGCCTCCTTTCCAGATTGGATATGTGACAAAATCGTCAGGTAAAGTTTAGATTGTTTAAGAACATTGTGATGGGAAAGATAAATCCTAAAAGTATGAAATGTGAGTGGAAAACAAAATATTAGTTGTCTATGTCTCTTCTTGACAAGATCACCTGAACAACCCTCTTCTGGGAGAAACACTGAGCCTCTGAAAACTCTTATAGGAGGTGTGAGTTGGAATAAAAATTCTAAGCACTTATACTTTGTTGAATCAGGAAACCAGAGCTAACGTGTCTTCCGAAGTTCTCCCTCTTGTGTGACTTCGGAAAATGTGTGGCAGGTGGTGGAAATGATGGCTTGGTGCAGCCCCCTGGCTGCCTGGATGTTAAACTGACTCGGTGTCTTATAGCGGACTTAGGACCAGGAACAAGGCCAACTGGGTGGGTTGGGAGCAGGTGGAACCCCAGGGTAGGGATCAGGACCCAGACTTGGCTACAGTTTGTGGCCAGAACAGGGACTCAGGGCTGGGTGTGACTATATGACACGAACCAAGGAAGCTGGAAATGGGCAGAGGAGCAGTGTCTAAAGCAGTGATTCTTAGTTTTAGGGTTTTTTGGAGGGAAGGTTGAATTTCTTCTGCTAGGAAATGTAGCCTGCTAATGTAACTATTTTTTGTATGACAATTTGTAACAAAACTTTGAAGGATTAATAGAAAGAATTACTGTCTTTTAGACGTGCTCTACTTTGCGCTGTAAAAATGTGGGAGCAGTGCTCACAGTATTTCTTGGGCCTCTCAAGAGTTACCATGCAGCTCTGATGATGGACAACTTTCCCTAATTGTTTTTGGGGTTTTTTTTTGGTACCAGGGATCAATCTTGGGACCTTGCGCTTGCGAGGCAGGCGGCGGAACCACTGAGCTAAATCCCCAGCCTAACTTCCCCTAATTGAAGAGAATAACATGAAGTGTGATTTAAATGGCTTCTATTCTACTTGGGGAGATTAGGCGGGTGCTGACGTACAGTATAACTAAATAGTAATTCTGGTAAAGCTGTGGCAGGCACCATAGTCACAGTGAAGTCTGGAAGCTTCAGGGACTGCACCTCCCCCAGGGCTGTGGATTTCTATAAAGAGCACTGCTGTGTCATCTTCTGATCCTGCCTCACACAGTGCTGGCCTCAGTAGCTGCTCAGTTAACTGGGAATGAATGGCTCATGTTCAGCATCTACCCTATTGAGCTTTTCTGATACTTTCTTACCAGATGGCTCTTGAGTACCTGTCTGAACAACTTCATTTAGGAACAGAATATTTCATGAGGTAACTTGTGTGAAAAATTTGTCTTTGGACATAATTTTTGCTGTTTAGAGTGCATGGAATGAATGTACATACATAATACCTCTTCACTGGATAATTCTTCAGAGATTTTGAGCATCTCTTTCATTCTTCTCATCTCCCCACCCCATACCATGTTAAACAACTTATGTTGGGAACATTTCTTAGAAGAGGCAAAGTGAGTTGGACTTACCAGATAGATAATGCTCAATGCCAGAGTGGGGATGAGTACCAGGTGCAAATTGAGGCCATCTCTGGGCCAGGCTCTGGACTAGGAAAGGGATTGCAGGGTTCCTGGCCTGCTTCTGTCTTTGGACTCACCCTTGGACAGGCCCATCTCTAACTCTTGTTGCTGTGATTGTGCACTAGGGTAGAAAGGAGTGAGCAGATTTAAGACCATAGCAGCCATAGACCCTTCCTTCTGTCTAACATCAAGATAGAAATAGTGATCCCAGGCTCCTGGTGTCATGAGGAAGAAGTAGATGAATGTGTAAAGCTGCTTTGCACACCCCTCTTACTGTCTCCTCTCTAATGAAGGCCACCAAAATCTGTCATTGGACAACTCCTCTCTATGTTGCTGCCAGCCTGGTGGGCTGGAGGGGCAGTTTGTGATATTGGAGAAGGCAGCTGTTACAGGCAGTTCAGTTGCCTTTTGATAAGAATTTGTTCTCTGATGATCACTTCTTTGCAGGGCATCCAGGCTTAGCCTTCATAGGGTCCCCTCCTGGGAACCAGGAGGATGGGGATGGGATTGGGGAAGCTACAGCCATTGGTGCTACACATCTTTGTCTTCCTGGGACTCTCCTTAATAAGATTGGAACTGTGAGTGGCCTTGGTACATTCCAAAGCCCAGGTCCAGTTGGCCACATCTCTGTCTTCTAGTACATGCACTTGGGAGTGGATTGTGGCTAGCGTCCACTTCACAGAATCGTTTGTACTTTCCATGGTGGTGGTGCTGGATCTTGTATTTCTGAAGCCCTGATAGTCAGTTGGGAGGGGTGTCTGTGTGTGGATGCGTGTGTGTGTGCGCATATCTGTGTGCCTTCAATGTGCTTATATGTGTTGTGTGCATGTTTCTTCAGTTATTCCCTCAAACTTGGTTGTAGTACCACCAGGTCCCTGTGTAGTCTAAGAACTAGAGGTGCTGATAAGGATGCATTTCAATTGAAAGGAGACTCCTTTTTTCCTTTTTTGTTGCTTTCCTCACACTGGCTGGGTGCAAGGTTGCTCTTTAGGGTCAGAGCTTTGATTCTGGTCATGTCTGTGGCTTCTGCACAGTTAGACAGGAAGCCATTGACAATGTTTATGTCACTGTGATATTCTGTGAAGAGGCATGACATATCTCTTTCTTTCTGGAATAGGAACCGGGTGACTGTTTTTTCCTAAGAGGTCACTGAGGATTGAGAACATGCTCAGGAAGTATTTCCTGAATGAATAAGTAAACCAGCTTTATGCAAAGAGAGGGAGTTCAGAGAACGCTGGTAAAGTACAGCTCTACGTTGAGCCCTAGTCAAGGAGAAGCTTCAGTCTGGGTGGTGGGAACTGGGAAGCCAGTGTGGTTTCTAAGCAGAATAGGGCAGGTGCTTATATTCTTGGAAAATAAACCTGGAAGTTGACAGGTAAGTGTGGGAAAGGAATTGGGCAGCTGTGGGAAGGCCAGCTACTACGTGCTGTGGGGATAATTACCGTAGAAGGAGGGACTGAGAGAGATGGATATAGAAGGATTTCCAAGAAGAGGACAGGAACAGCTGCTGAGACTTGAAGCAGATGCCCAGGGACAACTTCTAGACTGGAGAAGAGTCATGGTTGGTTGTGACTAAAGACTGAAGGAGAAGGAGCCTGAGTAAGAGGGGGCACAGTGCCATGAGGGTTTCTTCCTCTGGTGACCTGTTGCCCAGGCACACGAGGCCAAAGGCATTGTGGGAATTGGTCTCCATGTTCAATCCCACCTGTCCAAGTGCCCCACAGCAAATTCCCTATATTTGTGAGCACTACATCTGTAAAGTGGGCAAGAACAATGGTGTGTTATGAGCAGTCAGTCACATAATGTACATTGTGTGCATGGGTCCACAGAGACAGCCAGCTGGTTGTTGTCACTAATCTTGTTCCCCAGTGTGGAGGGGACAGGAAGGTGTCAAAGGCCTGTGTTTGTCTATGAGGAAAGAATAGCACAGATCGTGAGAGGCAGGAAGCAGGTGAGGTTTCTGGGTTACCTTGTTCAGGGTGAGGGAGATGCTTGCATGTTTAAGACAAGAAAAAGATGCCAGCACCCAGAAATTAGAAGACCCTGCATTGGAGACACAGGCAGGAGTGTGACTCCATGAAATGGAACAGGGCAACTGTAGCTCCCTTTCCCTCTGGGCGGGGAGGCCAGGCAATGGGTCCAGAAGTGACAGCTGTTTTGTGTCCATTTTGTCCTCCTCAGTAGCCTCCCGTGGGCTGAGCCACAGAACCTACCTGGGACAATGATGCCAGTCTTGTTGGTGCAGATCTTGGCAGTCGTGAGTTCTTTGTGTTGACATTAGAATGTGTCTAAGGAAACAGGCAATGTTAATGCAACTGAGAAAAATACGGGTACTGAAATAAAAACGACACTTTATTCCATGTCTTCCCATTATAAGAAAGGCAGCTTTCTGACTTACTTTCTGAGTAGCATTTTTAGCTCAGCCTGCTTTTGGAGAGACCACAGCTGTGAGAGCTGAGCAGTTTGCCAAAGGTCTTGTCTCCTTCTGTGGCCATCTTGGCCTTCCCCCAGCAGCCTTTGCTTTCTCCGGTCCGTACTGAAAACTGTGACAGCCTCACATGAGTGCTAAATGTTTATGAACAGTTAATGATATAAGCTACTAAAAAATCGATAT